CAAGTCTGAATTTTCAGAAAAAAGACCACACAAAAAGAAGGGCAATTATGGTGACATCTCTCTTTTCAGGTGTGAATTTTTTGTATGCAGAAATGTGTTCATGCTATCGAGTTTTTCTTCTCTCCATTTTCAAACCTCCAGTTATGGCGCCATCTGTCTATTCGGGGGTCGAAGTTTGTAAATTCAAAAATGTGTCGACTCTGTTTAGCTTTTGCTTTAAAAATTGTGAAGTTTGAAAATGAACAATCTTTCAAGAGTTTCAAAGTCACTGTGGATGTGTTTGCTGTCCTAACCGGGGTTTGAACTCGTGACTCCTGTGAGCGCAATTGCAGGTGTGTTCTCTTCTTGCACCGAAACGCTACAGTGAAGTTTTGTCTTACTATGGAGCTCTCTCTTGTTGCAGAAGGAGAGAATTAAATGAACCGCTCTTGCAGGAAAATGCAGCAGGTGTCAGTCAACTGCCCACTTTGCCTCCTAGCCATAAGTGCAGGTAGAGAAGTGAGGAGGGGTTGGGGGCCAGGGGGGAGGAGAAGGTAGGTGTTGCACAGTCACTGTGGTGGTAATACGCATGCACAATGATTCGATTGCGACGTGTTGTCCGCCTCTCAGCTTCCGCTTTTGGGCTTGCAACAGCTGCTTATGTTGGCTATTATGGATATGAGAGGGGTCGCCCCCCTGAATATCTGCATAAAAGACCAGTTGCACCGAGCGACATTTTACCCCGACAGAATCTCGAGAGCCGTCAAGCATTGCTGAAGAGAACGACACAGCTGAATGCGCTGCGCTCTGGTAGTACTGCGGAAGAGCCTTTTGATGTGCTTGTCATTGGAGGGGGTGCGACTGGGACTGGTGTGGCACTGGATGCCGCCACACGTGGACTGAAGGTGGCACTCGTTGAGCGGGAGGATTTTGGAGCTGGGACGTCCTCGAGGAGCACAAAGAGTGTGTATGGCGGTATCACGTACTTGGAGAAAGCAGTGAAGGGCTTGTCTTATCCATATCTGCAGCTGGTACGAGATAGCCTACGCGAGAGAGCAAACCTTCTGCGGAATGCGCCTCATTTGACATACATACTTCCCTATTGGATACCGTGCTACTCGTGGATAGACATTCCATATTTTTGGATCGGGGCGAAGCTGTACGACTTCCTTGCAGGGCCGTCGGATCTGCCCCGTCCCTCAGGTTTCCTCTCAACGAGGGATGCCCTCTCTGATTTCCCTCAGTTGGCAACAGTCAGGCGAGACGGAAAGACACTCAAGGGTCTAGTTGTCTTCTACGAAGGCCGAACAGACGACTCGCGCCTTTGCCTCAACCTGGCGTGCACGGCTGTGCTAGCGGGTGCGGTTGTCGTCAATCACAGCAGCATCGTGTCTCTTCAACATGACAAGGCAACACCTGATCTGGTCAAAGCGCAAGTTCAAGATCATCTTGCGACCAACCCATCTGATCAGGATTTTGAAGTTTATGCCAAGGTAGTGATCAATGCCACGGGTCCTTTCTGCGATTCCATCCGCCAAATGATCCTCAAAGACGGAGGCAGAAAAGACGAAGGAGCGAGAGACTCGGAGGAGGCCATCAAGGGCTACAAGCCCTTGCTGGCACTCAGTAGTGGAACCCACATCCTCCTCCCGGCGCATTACTCGCCAAGTCACGCCTCAGTGGCGCTTTGGAGGACAAAGGATGGTCGTGCGATGTTTATGATCCCTTGGATGGGTAAGACAATTGCGGGAACAACGGACACCGCTGTGTCAGAAGCCAGAAGGTCCCCAAAACCAAGGGAGGAAGAAATTGCGTTGATTCTGGAAGCAATCGGAGATCATTTGAGCATGCAAGTCCACAGGGATGATGTCTCGTCAGCATGGAATGGGGTAAGGCCTCTGGTGGCTGCTGAGGCTGAGAATGATGATCAGCGGCAAGCTAGCACAAGAGCCCTGGTGAGGGACCATGTAGTGAGAGTCGACAACGACAGGTTCCTTACAGTTGTCGGCGGAAAGCTGACGACGTATCGTAAGATGGCAGAGGATGCTGTGGATTTGGCTGTACGCGTCGGGGGGTTTCCGAATGCCAAACGATGTGCCACTGATCACCTACTTCTGGCAGGATCCTATGGCTGGGATGCGCTACTCTTCACGACCCTTCTGCAGAACCGTCCTGTCAGCGACGACAAGACCATGATGCCGAATAACACTCAGTCTGACCACAAGCACGTAGAGAGATTGCAATTGTCAATTTTTAGAAGGGGTTGCAAGGAAGTGTCCATTGATAGAGAAGTAGCAGAGCATCTTGCAAGATCTTTCGGCGGTCAAGCAAAGACAGTGCTTGAGATTGCCAGGGGTGAAAATTTGGGAGAGCGGTTGGTCAGCGGATACCCTGTCCTAGAGGCGGAGGTGGCGTTCTCTGCTCGTGAAGAGTTCTGCCAATCTGCAGTTGATTTTATAGCAAGGAGGTCACGACTGGCGTTTCTTGACGTGGCTGCGGCCACAAAGGCATTGCCTCGCATTGTTGATATTCTTGGAAAGGAGTATGGATGGGGCAAGCGGCGAAAACGAGAGGAATTGGATGCCGCCAGAAAGTTCTTGAAAACCTTTGAGGCATGAGGAGCTCCCTTTAAGCCAAGGTCGATATATTTGGAGTCTTTGAACACGAGCGCCCATGGGGCAACAGGCAAGAATGAGAGAAGTTAGATGCTGGCACAATATTCTTCAGGCAAAGAAATTTTCACAGCCAAACAAAAATTTGCAGCCACAGATCCGTTCCTCCTTCTTTTTTTCCCAAGAAAAGGAAAACCTGCCGTCTCCTCATACAGGGCACAGGTGTATTCGCTACACTATTTTCTTCTCTCGATATGTTTTGTTGCCTCGCAGTAGCTGCCTGCAAACCACCGCTCACTCACTCCATGTCTATGCCTGGTAGACGCAACACAGCTAGGGTTATGGGCCTACCTATCCTAGTGGGCTGAACCTATCCGCTCGGGGCTGAACCTACTACCCCATCTGAGCCTGTCGCCTTAGGGTTGAACCTCACCCCTAGCAAAGGATGGAAGGGACTGCAACTATCCCTCCCAAACAGCCAGGGGGGGGAAGAGGGGGGCAAGCTGACTATCTCAGCTGGTGAACCCACAGGAGGCCATGGGGATTTCGAATGGAAGGCGTGGGAAACCCACGACCTCCTGGATGCTGCTTTCGTGCTCTAACAATTGAGCTAGGCCACTGGCCCGGCCAAATATCCCTCCTTGTACAGTAAGAAGTACTACTGAACAACTACACTCGAGTTTATGTAGACCTTGCTCCATTTTATTCCGCTGAGCGGCACTCCAGTTTTGTTTCCACCGCCAAGCAAGGAATATTATTTGAATATATTTTGCAAAAATTGACAATAATACAAAGATTTACGCTTCTGGTCTCGACTCTATGACTTGGTGGCAAGTTTGGTTAAAATGACCCTTGGATTTTGTTATAAATGGCATGACAAGTTGTCTGAAAATTAGGGCCTCCGTTAACCGCCTCTCCTCTCCTCTGCCCATAGTTTTCAACCATTTGCTTTAAACCGCCAGTACACGCCCCACCCAAGCATCAAATGAACTCGTCCCCACCTACCACAACTTTCGGAACCGAGCCGCCGTTGCTAAATTTCATCAATGGCCTGTGTCGGCAAATTGTCGCGTTTTCGGCATGGTTGCCAACCGGACGTCCGGATCCCGATCCAGACAGTTCAGCGTCCAGTGTCCAGGTCCGGTGGTCGGTTTGGAGGGTCTGGTTGGACCCTGATTTAAAGAAATTCGAAAAAAGAACTTGGGGTCCCCACGCCATTTTCCCAGGCCTGGGGGACCCCAGAAAATTGTTGGTGTTGTTTTTTGTGGATTGTCGCCCGAATCGGACCGACCCTGAAGGGCCTGCTGTTGGAGAACTTCGGAGGGCAGTATCGAGGTGTTCGTTTCCCGCCGGTGGGACGGGGACGAGGTAGTCAAGGAGGAGGGACGGAGGGTGAGTGGGACGCTGGGGGGAGGGCGACAAGGGAGGGGGGTCTGGCAACAGGGTGGGCAGGTGGCAATGGACAGACAGGCGATTCAGAATCTCTCTCTCTCTCTCTCTCTCTCTCTCTCTCTCTCTCTCTCTCTCTCTCTCTCTCTCTCTCTCTCT